CTCTAGCCTCGGCAACAAAGCGAGATTCTGTCTCATAAAATAAAATAAAATAAAATAAAATAAAATAAAATAAAATAAAATAAAATAAAATAAAATAATAAAATAAAATAATAAAAAAATAAAATAAAATAAAATAAAATAAAATATAATTAAAGGTTACACTATTCCAGCAGAATGATAGTCTAGCCTAAGGTTGGTTACCTCTGCTGATCAAGAAGTCACTGGGGGCAGTGCATTCTGGGTCGGCGTAGCTATGGCGGCTCGTGTCCTTTCCTCCTGTGTCCGCCGCCTGCCCGCGGCCTTCACCTCGCTGCCCCGGGTCCCCACGTTAGCCACGGCCCGGCCGCTCAGCACCGCTCTGTGCCCCGCGGGGACCCGGGGAAAGGCCTGGGGCCTCGCAGCCAGCCTCGGTGCTCGAGCAGGTTCCAAGTCAAGTTACACGGTTGTGCCGCCAGGATAGTGACTCTCCCCCTTTGACATTAGAGGGAATCAAGGACCGTGTTCTTTATGTGTTGAAACTCTATGGCAATATTGACCCAGAGAAGCTTTCAGTAAATTCTCATTTTATGAAAGACCTGGGCTTAGACAGTTCGGACCAAGTGGAGATTATCATGGCCATGGAAGATGAATTTGGGTTTGAAATTCCTGATATAGATGCAGAAAAGTTAATATGTCCACAAGAAATTGCAGATTACATTGCAGATAAGAAGGATGTACATGAATAAAATATCAGACCCTCCTGCTTCACTGAGAGAAGATTCAGGTGATACTGGCGAGTGTCTGGACGTAAGAACACATTTTGGCGTTATTGCTGACTTTAACAGAGTAATTCTGTTGGACTTGTATTTAAATTCTGTTAAGCATTTTACGCTTTGAAAATAAACCTATAAAACCAACAACAACAACAAAAAAGAAGTCACCGGGGACTGGGAGTGGAGGCTCATGTCTGTAATCCTAGCACTCTGGGAGGCCAAAGCTGGAGGAGCGCTTGAGGTCAGGAGTATGAGATCAGCCTGAACAAGAGCGAGACACTGTCTCTATTAAAAATAGAAAAATTAGGCTGGGCGCGGTGGCTCACGCCTGTAATCCTAGCACTCTGGGAGGCCAAGGCAGGTGGATTGCTGAAGGTCAGGAGTTCGAAACCAGCCTGAGCGAGACCCCCCCCCTACTAAAAATAGAAAGAAACTAATTGACCAACTAAAAAATATATATAGAAAAAATGAGCCGGGCATGGTGGTGCATGCCTACTGGGGAGGCTGAGACAGGAGAATTGCTTGAGCCCAGGAGATTAAGGTTGCTGTGAGCTAGGCTGACGCCACAGCACTCACTCTAGCCTGGGCAACAAAGTGAGACTCTGTCTCAAAAAAAAAAAAAAAGAAAAGAAAAGAAAAATTAGCTGGGCGTGGTGGCACACACCTGTAATCCTGGCTACTGGGGAGAGTGAGGCAGGAGAATCACTTGAGCCTAGGAGTTTGAGGTTGCTGTGAACTAGGCTGATGCCACAACACTCTAGCCTAGGAAGTCACTGAGTACCAAAGCAAAGACCTAATATAGATCTTAGATTGAGTTTCATGTCTCCTTATGGCTTCAACCTTTTATTTGGATTTTACTTTCCATAGGAATATATAATAAGAATGCTGCCTCTTTGGATGTATTTCAAGAGAGCTAGCCAGCTATTCTGTGACCTTATAATCTGCCCTTCTCTAGCCTAAAAATGCACACCTCAAGCAGTTCCCTTTCTGTGTGGTTTTAAATTCCCTCTCCATTTTTCCCTTTATTCTCTAAGAATTATTTTATTTGCCTGTGTTGCCCTAAAAATGTAATGCTTAGAATTGAACATAGTGTTCTAGATGTGACCAGTACAAAGTACATTGCAACTATTATCCTCTATCATCTGGAGAGTATACTTCTTTTAATGTCATTTAACAAATAGCAAATTTTAAATTTTTTAAATTTCTTTTATTTTTTAAATTACTTTTTAGAGACAGGGCCTCGCTTTATTGCCTAGGCTAGAGTGTAGTGGCATCATCATAGCTCACTGCAAACTCAAACTCCTGGCCTCCAGCAATCCTCCTGCCTCGGCCTCCCAAAGTGCTAGGATTATAGGTGTGAGCTATCGCACCTGAAAATTTTAAGAGCACAAGTTTGACAGCAACTGGCATGTGTGTAGCAGGCACTCCAAAAGATTTCTGAATGTTGTTAAATATAAACAGAACAGGCATGCTTTGTTTGGTTGGGTTTTTGTTTTGTTTTTAAGAAAACTTCCAGAATATAATGGGACCTTTATGGGACCTTTCACTTTGTATTTTACCTTCTTAAATATCAGTGTATTTCATATTTAGGCTTAACATGAATTTACACCCTTTTCAAGGATCAGTTTCATTAGAGTCAGTAGCCACTTTCATTTCACTCAACTTTGAAGCAGTCTCTCAGCTCAGAAGTGATTCTTGGCCAGTACCCTAGGTATTCCCCGCTGTGTTATATCTGATCTTTGTGTATATATATATAACACTATCAACTATAAAAAAAGTGATTCTTGTGTGAACAGAATTCTATTGGATGAGACTTATTTTGAGCATGAATATAATGTGAACCTTGGCCAGCTGTTGTATGATATAATGTTGAAACTTGGCAGCACTTAGTGACATTAGGTTTTTCTCCAGGGGAGCAATGGGGCTGTTATCTGGGGAAGCATCCCAAACAGGAAACAGGCGATGGTTTTCTAATTAAAAATAAATACATATATATATTAACAGAATGGATGTTTCGGTGAAAATGAAGACATGTTTTCCGTGGTAATGATAGTGATCATGTAAAAGAATGGCTTGATCTTTAGAATCTGAGGGTATTTTGTCAAAATTAAAAAAAAAATTAAAAAAAAAAAAAAAGAATGGCTTGATCTGAATGCACTTGGGCTGAGACTGGACAGAGCTAAGAGTCACCACTTTGTCCAAGCAGGTGACTACTGGGAACAGGACGTAAAGATTATTTGCTCACCATCTGATCTCCAGCAGTTAATACAATGCTTGGCAAGGGGCAGACCTCAAAAAACTTTCAAAAGTAAATAAAGAGAAGAGAGGAAGGACTGGAGAGATGAAAGGAGAAGTTTTATCCAGACACTGGATAAAAGCCCAAATATTGGTGCAGGAGGGATCTCAAGATCAATGTCCAATTTCTTTATTTTACATGTGGTCATTGGAGACATAGAGGTGTAAATTAAATCTCCAGGGTTACAATATCTCAGTCTGGATAGTGACTGCATCATTCCTAGATGTTAGGACTTTGACTCTGAATCCAGTCCTCTTTATGTGACACTAGTGGAGCTGCAGAAGGTATGGTCAAAGGAAGGCCCTGGGATCCCAAGCTTTGGCATCAGATTAGCTCAGCATGCCCAAATTGGAGTAAGCTTGAGAAGAGGTGTTAGCTACAGACATGGAAGAAACCCTGGGATTTAAATGAGTGATCCCAAGCAAGAAATGGTGAGGCAAGTTAATCCTAAATATCAGACTAAGACTGAGCAAATGGACATGTGCTGTTATTTCCTTACTATCAGTGACCTGTACTTCGCTACATACACACAACACACACACACACACACACACACACACACACACACACACACCATCATGCCCTCCTAGTAATAATCAGGTTAGACTGCAGTAGATCAAACTCAGGGATGGGCTGGACATGGTGGCTCATGCCTGTAATCCCAGCATTTTGTAAGGCCAAGGTGAGAGGATTGCTTGAGTCCAGGAGTTTGAGACAAGCCTGGGTAATATATAGCAAGAACCCGTCTCTCCAATCTTTGGAAAATGTGTAATGAAACAGATTTCTTGACTACAAGACTTCACAGGGCTTTTAATATGCTAATATGAGTTTTGAATATCCAAAAGACAATTTGGTTCTCAGGCTTCCAAACTTATTTTGCCCATAAACCCCTTACTTTGATTTAAATGTGTTTTCGAGGCTGAGGCAGAAGGATTGCTTGAGCCCAGGACTTTGAGGTTGCTGTGAGCTAGGCTTGACGCCACAGCACTCTAGCCTGGGCAACAGAGTGAGACTCTGTTTCAAAAAAAAAAATAAGTAAATAAAATAAAATAAATAATATGTTTTCCCAGGGGATATACTTGGGACAATGGTTTTCCTTTCTTTATTTATTTTTACGGTGATTTCAACAGAGGCAAAGGTTTCATAAGCATTACTTATCTTTTCCGTATGTGTTGCACAACTTTTCTATTTTACTTTCCTTTTTCTTTCTAACATATGCTGAATTATTAAACTCACTAGATTGATTTCACAACCTATAAATGGGTCATCATGACCTGGAGTTGAAAAACGCTGTTTTGGCAATTACTGGTGTATGATTTAGAGACTTCTCCTCTATATCCCTTTAATCCCCCTTTTACCTGTGAGCTGTGCAATGTTATTGGCTGAACCTAAGATCTACCTAGGATAAGTCTGAATAAGAGAATGGGGTTACATAACCCTTGGCTATTTCATTACAGTTATATTGAAGCAAACCATAAGGAAGTACAGTAAACAGAGCCTGGAGACAGAGTGAGCACAGTAGTTAAAGAGATCTCAGTGTCTTGGCAACACTCTCTAGGACCCACGAAGTTAAAGAAGGGGAACCACAACTACATTATATTCTTTTTTTTTTCAATTTATCGTTATTTATTATCAAAATTATGACCAGTGTGTAGATGTACTTGTGAAAATATACAGTAACTTACAACACTCAAGCAAATAGGACATTAACACATACACTGTTCACATGTGTGGGTCTGGAGGGGTTATTAATTTATTTCTTTTTTTAAAAATTATATTTAAAAATATAAATTAATAAAATTTATTTCTTCTTTTTCACTACTTAACTGACTCAGTAATGATGCAATTTTCTTTCTATTTTTAGTGGAGATGGGGTCTCCCTCTTGCTCAGGCTGGTTTTGAACTCCTGACCTTGAGCGATCCACCCGCCTTGGCCTCTCAGAGTGCTTGGATTACAGGCATGAGCCACCGTGCACGGCCTTATATTCTAACATAGTGGACACACTGTTAACAAGAATGAGTCAGTGATTTAGGATTTACAATCAGTAACTTCTATTGTTCAATGAACCAAGCAAGATGTAGCATGTTGTATACAGTGAGCTCCATTTGTGTACATTTGGTTATATATACCAAAAGAAGGGTTATTCATATGCTTGATATGCATAGACCATCTCTGGAGAACACCCCATGAACGGACCACAGCGGCATCTCACTGGTGGGGGTTCCTATGAAAGAGGACCCACTTTTCACTGTGTATTCTTTTCTACTGTTTTAATTTTTCATCGTAGACATGTATTACTTTTCAAAATTAATAGTACACTAATAGATGATTAAATAAGCCTAGATAGTGAGAGATGGGAGAACCTGAAAAACAGAAACTTCTAGCATTTGGTTTGGTAAGCCACTGTAAGTGATAATATGGGAAATAATAAAGAAATTTATAGGTTCAAATCTTGAAGATGTATATATGTGATTGTTAATCATTCAGTGTCTTTCATTGGATTCTCGACCTTATTAACAAGAACCACCTCTGTCTAGCATATGCATTCTCTGTTCCACTTCTCCTTCAATATATGGCATTTTATGAAAAATATCAGGAAGAGAGCTCCAAATAAGTTTTCTTAGGATGATGTAGGTTTTCCATTTTACCTGCAGCAGAACAGAGAAAAAAGGGGAAACTGTAAAAGAGGAACACTCTGAGGGGGAGGACTACCAAAGGGGAAACAAAAACAGGAGCTGCAGGTACTTTGGCTATGCCAAGAGGAAGAGCAGCAGTAGTTTTCAAACTTTAATATTCATAACATTCAAAGTGCTTGTTAAAATTAGCTTCTGGGCCCTGCCCCTAGAGATTCTGATTCAGTGAGTCTGAGAGTTGCTGTTAGTAGTCTTAGAGGAGATAAATTCTATTTTCTGATTGCCTCTGGGAGAAGACTCAAATACGTTAAGTGTGGTACTGTTGTGGCAGTGTGTACAGCCAGCATTACAGCTCTTGTTACAGCTCTTATTCGTTTGACCGGGGAAAGAACCAAGCGGCACACGAAGAGTCGGAGAACGGCCTTTATTCTGCTACAGCAGACTCAGCACACCTAGTGTTACAGCTCTCTTCGTGTCTTCCCATATTCTCCCAATGTTCTCTGGATGTTCTCCCCCTTCCTGCCCTTCTGCTGCTGCTTTTATACCCTTGGTAGGGCTCAAGAAGTGTCCAATCAACTACAAGCTTTAACATCCAATCAGCAACAGGCTTTAACATCCAATCAGCAACAAGCTTTAACATCCACTCAACAACAAGCTTTAACATCCAACCAAAAACAGTGGGATTCAAAAGTTACCCAATCAGTATCACACAAGCAGCGTGGCCAGAAACAGGAGGGCACGTGGGCCTGGGGCATTCAGGCACGCGGGGTCCCAGGGCGGCGGGAGTCCAGGGCGGCTGTGAGCCACGGGGCTGGCCCCAGCAGCGTGCCTCTAACCGGCCTCATGCAGCACTGGCCCCCAGAGATGCAGAACCACAGGGAGGTGGCAAGTGGCCGTGTCCCAGCGCCCGATATTTTCCGCATCAGTACTCCTCGTGAGAACAAACACACACAAAATACCAGGACAAAACAAAAATTAAAAAACAAGACTATTTCTGCTATTCAGATCACTGACACAGGACTGCTTAAATAGAAAAAAGTTCTGTTCGTCTTCTTAAGATTTTAACCTATAAAGTAGATTTTCTTTTTTTAAATTTTTTTGTACCTCACATGTTAATGTGTACACTGAAATAAAGTAGATTTTCTTAAGTGAGTTAATACACATAAAGAATAATGCCCAGGAGAATAATGGTTCAGTAGGTATAAGCTATTATAATTTAAAATAATTTTTTTAATTCATTTAAAAAAAATTTTTTTTGAGACAGACTCTCACCCTATTGCCCTGGGTAGAGTACAGGGATGTCATTGTAGCTCACAGCAACCTCAAACTTCTGAGCTCAACAAGCTATCCTCCTGCCTCAGCCTACCTAGTAGCTGGTTTCAAACTCCTGACCACAAGCAATCCGCTCGGCTCGGCCTCCCAGAGTGCTAGGATGACAGGCGTGAGCCACCACAGGCGTGAGCCCGGCCTACTAGCTGGAACTGTAGGTGTGCATCACCACCCCTGGCTAATTTTTCTACTTTTAGTAGAGACAGAATCTCACTCTTGCTCAGGCTGGTCTCAAACTCCTGACCTCAAGCAATCCTGCTGCCTCAGCCTCCCAGAGTGCTGGGATTACAGGCATGAGCCACTGCACCCGGCCTATTTTAATTTTTTTAAATTAATTTTTCCAGTGAAACTATCCTTCAAAAGATTTTTTGTTGCTGTTTTTTTTTTTTTTGAGATATTGCCACGCTGTGTCCCAGGCTGGTCTCGAACTCTTGGGCTCAAGTAGTCCTCCCACCTTAGCCTCCAGAGTAGCTGGGATTATAGGCCTGTGCCATTGCACCCGGCTTTGATTTTTTTCTTGGGGATACATAAAACAATAGTGCAGGGATGGCAGAGATTGGGAGATCTCATACTATGAGATATAATTCTTTATAATTTAGAGTTCTGGGTCTGAGAATGCTAATTTTCCAGACAATGAGCTAAGAAAACACTTAAGAGGCCAGACAGTATCCAAACAGTTTTTGAAATTAATGATATGGTCCTGTTTAAGACAGTTGTGAAGAAATTTGTTTAAAACCAGCCTGAGCAAGAGCGAGACCCCATCTCTACTATAAATAGAGAGAAATTAATTGGCCAACTGATATATATAGAAAAAATTAGCCGGGCACGGTGGCGAATGCCTGTAATCCCAGCTACTCGGGAGGCTGAGGCAGGATTGGATTGCCTGAGCCCAGGAGTTTGAGGTTGCTGTGAGCTAGGCTGACACCATGGCACTTACTCTAGCCTGGACAACAAAGCAAGACTCTGTCTCAAAAAAAACCAAAAACTTAAGCGCGTGATGCAGGACATTACTCAAAATGTGTCTTCACAAACACATGTGAATTTACCTATGACTCTTTTTCCTACTTCATCTCATCAGATTGTTTTCAAGTTTGTTTTGTTTTCATTTGCAAAGTTGATGAATACCCAGGCACTGATCCCAGTTTGGGTTTAAACTTTGTTCTAAATGCTTGAAGAATGGCCCAGATTGTGTCTCTTTTTTAAAGCAACACTTTAGCCTTTTAGCCTAAAGTGAGTCACTCTTCCAACAGATGTGAGTTCCTAAATTGGCAGAGCTGCACACACAATCAGCAATCCTAGGGGTCATACCTCCTTGAGAATTTCCAAACCTGGGCGCTCCCGTTGATAACATTGTGTTTTATCAAGTTCCCTCCACTCCCAAAAGAAAGATCATTCAATAAATATTTCATACTTGGGGTTTTAGGGAACATCAAGAAAAAGGAGGGGGGCTTGAAAATGTTCAGTGCTACTGGCTCAGCTTTTTTCCAGGGTCCCTCCCTTCCCTGAGTGCAGGCCACAGATGTGTTGCAAAAATATATAGGCATCTTCATCTTTATAGCACCCCTTTCAAGAGGTTGTCTAGCCTTTGCTTTGTTTAAAGCTAAGGAAGAAGAATTCAATACCTTTCAAGATATCACATCCTCTTTTTAGGAAAATCTTAATAATTAGAAGGCTTTGCCTATGTTTCTTCGAAACATGCTTATTAGTACTTACCTAGACCCATATGTCTTTGGAGAAAAGCAGAATGAGTACATCTCTCATGCAAGTGTCAACCTTTCAGCTATATGAAGACAGCTGTGAATGGTGATCTAGCACCTCTTGTGTTATCCTGGATAGAGCTGGAGCCCATTCTACTAAGTGAAGTATCTCAAGAATGGAAGAACAAGCACCACATGTACTCACCAGCAAAGTGGTATTAACTGATCAACACTTAAGTGCATATACAGTAATAACATGATTCATTGGGTGTTGGGCAGATGGGGGAAGAGGAGGGGTATATACACACCTAATAGGTTTGGTGTGCACCGTCTGGGGGATCTACAGGCTTGAAGCTCTGACTCGGGTGGGGCAAGGTCAATATACATAACCTAAACATTTGTACCCCCATATAATGAAATAAAAAAAAATTAAAAAAAAAAATGAAGACCTGTGATAGTCTATTCTACTCTTTTCTCTTCTCTGGGTCCTGAAAGAGATGGGAGGGAATTGTGTAGAGTTTGCACAGGGATGGGAGTGAATTAGACATGGGGATTTATGATAAATGTGAATCTAATTGTATTTAAGCTACTGTATACATACATAGAGACTCAACAACCATAAAAAATCTCTAGAAGACAGAGAATTAGAATGCACTTACAACCTGCTGGGAAATTTTCCTTGAAAGAAGCATGTATAATTTATTCTTTCTCAGTAGATATACTTGAATGGTGGATCATTTTTACTGCAATTCTTTTGCTTTTCTGATAAAATTGTGTGTGTGTGTGTGTAATTTTAAAGTAAATTGAAAACATGCTGAGGGATGTTATTTTGACTGAGTAGGAGCAGAGAATATGTTCTGTGGAATGCATAATTCTTCCCTGTGTGGCCCACAAGGTTTTGAGTAGCTTGAAGGCCAGAACTATGCCTTATTCTTCTTAGTATCATAAGCAACTAGAATAATACTTTGCACAAAGTTGGCCTCAATAAATGCTTGTTGAATTGAATTACTTGAATTTCGAATGGAGAAATCACTAGAGGAAGGTACATACCAGGAAAAGGGGATTGAATTGTGAAGAAATGTGAACCTGAAAGCCAGTCCTTCAAGATGGATTCTAAGTGGCTAACTGGGTCTGAATCCAAAATAGAGCCCAGGTTCGATCAGTCCATTGCCAGAAAAAATAAAATAAAATAAACCAAAATACAGCCCAGGGGCTATTTGCTGACTAGGAATCATACACATACTGAGTTCCCTGAAAACACACCTTTTTATCTTTGGAACTTTCGAAATTCACCTACACCAATCAGAGCTCATCTGCCTCAACCAATGAGGGTTCAGCTGCATCAATCAATCAGCTGTATCAACCAGTCAGGAATCCGCTGTATCGACCAATCAGAACTCAGATGTGTTGACCAATCAGAACTAAGCAAGTTTCAATTCTTCATCGGCAACAAATGACCTGACTGGAAACCTTGGGCAGGAACTTTTACCATAAAACCCCAGGCTTCCCTTTGTTCTCTGGAATGCACCTTTCATGCCAAAAGCTGTCTTCCCAGGTTGCAAAATGTTTACTGGAATAAAGTCTCTTTCCTCCAACTTCCTTTTCAGAGAACTTTTTGTTTACAAAATTTACTGTAAGGAAGATTTTTAACTGAACTCTTCTAATCTTGTCTTCCTACTTAGCAGAAATGCCCTCGAAGAGATGGACTTGTATTGATAACCCTTTGGCAAATGATGGGATCCCCTCACCCACCAATCGCCACCCTAAAAGCTCTGCCATTTGAAGCATCTGACAAACTAAAAGCAATCACATCCTATCTGTCATAACTGGCATCCTTTGCCTTCAAGTTAATGTGCATTTTAAACATGGCCTTCTAGGGAAAGTGTATTAAATAAAAGAGCAATTATAATGATATGCAGAGATGTTTTGGGAAGCATTTTGGTGGCAAGTGCCTAAAAGTAGAGTCAGAGAAACCCAAGTTCACGACTTGGCCAAGAGACCAGAAGGCCCCAAGGAGAAAAGCCAGGGTGGGGAGGAAGCTGTTGGGAGTGACAGCCAAGGCAACACTGCAATTTGCTGGAACTCACTGAAGCATTCTGACCCAATGATCTACTTCGTGCAAGGCTGGGAGTGTGGTAGATTACACTGGGAATGTGAAATTGGCAGAGCCCTCTATGTGCAAAGCACCCTGTGACTATGTGCTCTTATTTGGGGACTACTTGTACTTTAACCAGATGACTGGATTAACAGCAGCACTTGCCCTATTGTAGGAAGTACGACTGTTTTCTTAGAACAAAACAGGTGCTAATCTTGGGACTCAGTCCTGGACTCATGTAGGAAGGAGGCAGGAGTGTTTGACTTAGCTGACAACAGAAGTCCAGCCAGGAGGGCAAAGAACAGTCTCCTCGAGTGAGGCAATGAGTGTCTGGGAGGTCTGTTGCTTGATTGTGACCTCTGTTCACTAACCAGCCTGGGTTTTGGGGACAGGCTCTTTGTCCCCAAGGGAAAAACAGGAAAATGCAAGGCAAAGGCTCTCATACGAGAAGTATGGATAGTGGGCCTGAGACAGCACTATATGCTATCTGTTGTCTTGATATAATTATAAATAACATCCCTTCTTATCCTCAACAGGGTCCTGCTTAGCAGAATAAATTATATGTCATTTTTTGGCATGGAATACTTGGAAGGACACCAGAAAAATAACTTTTGCAACAGGAACCAAGGCAAAGGCCAGCTTTATAAACTGGGGCAAGAAGGGATGAAGGTGGAATAACTGACTGGGTGAGGTGGTTCACGCCTGTAATCCTAACACTCTGGGAGCCCGAGGCGGGATGATCACTTTAGGTCAGGAGTTCAAGACCAGCCTAAACAAGAACGAGATCCCTTCTCTACTAAAATTAGAAAAATTAGCCGGACATGGTGGCATGTGCCTGTAGTCCCAGCTCCTCAGGAGGCTGAGGCAGGAGGATTGCTTGAGCCCCGAAGTTTGAGGTTGCTGTGAGTGAAGCTGATGCCACAGCACTCACTCTAGCCTGGGCAACAGAGCAAGACTCTGTCTCAAAAATAAAAAAGGTGGGATAATTATGTCCCAACACCACTGGGTAGGATAAGCAGGCTGCCTTTGCAATTAGTAAGAATCTCAGATGGCTGGGCATGATGTAATGCCTGTAATCCTAGCACTCTGAGAGGCCGAGGCGGGTGGATCGCCCAAGGTCAGGAGTTTGAAACCAGCCTGAACAAGAGCGAGACCCCATCTCTACTATAAATACAAAAGAAATTAATTGGCCAACTAAAAATATATAGAAAAAAAACTTAGCCAGGCATGGTGGCACATGCCTGTAGGTCCCAGCTACTTGGGAGGCTGAAGCAACAGGATTGCTTGAGCCCAGGAGTGTGAGGTTGCTATGAGCTAGGCTGACGCCAGGGCACTCTACCCACCCCGGGCAAAGAGTGAGACTCTGTCTCAAAAAAAAAAAAAAAATATTGGAGACAGTATTAGCCACACCCCATGCAGAATAGCACTGAGGCTCTTTGTCCTTATCCACTATGATGCCTGCAATCCTCTGAAATGCAGGGGATAGAGTCTTCCTATATCACTATTCCTATTCTCAGCCTCATAGTTGATGACTGTTATTTACTTAACATTGAAAATACTGATAATTGTCCCTGAAGAAGAGAAAGTTTTACCCAAGGTATTCTTTCCAAATATTTGGACAAGACACTGTGCTACATAATGCAGAGATTGCAGTTGCTTATAATCTAATTAGAAAGCTAAATAGTTATAAATGTTTTAAATAGAGCAACAGAAAAATTGTCAAAAAAAAGTGGTTAATAGTCAAACCAATTGTGTTAGCTGTAATTTTTATGAGAGTTCAAAGGGAAAGAGTGATCACTTAAGGTTAGGAAGATCAAAGAAAATTTTTGAAGGGAGAGGGACTTTAAGTCTTGAAGGATTTTTCATCTATTAAGTACTTATCACTGTCAGGAATTTTCACATATGGTTCCTTCTTTCTTTCTTTCTGTTTTTTGAGACAGTCTCACTCTGTTGCCCTGAGTAGAGTGCCATGGCGTCAGCCTAGCTCACAGCAACCTCAAACTCTGGGATCAAGTGATCCTACTGCCTCAGCCTCCCGAGTAGCTGAGACTACAGGAACATGCCACCATGCCTGGCTAATATTCCTATTTTTAGTAGAGAAGGGATCCTGCTCTTGCTCAGACTGGTGTTGAACTCCTGACCTAAAGTGATCACCCCACCTTGGCCTCCCAGAGTGCTAGGATTATAGGTATGAGCCACCACGCCTAGTCTGGATTCTTGTTTCTCTCCATAGGGTTATGGAGTAGGTATTAGTATCCATAGTCTGCGAAGGAGGAAACTCAGAGGGTTTAAGCAACATTCTGTAGCTTGCTAGCTAGTAAAGAGCAGACCCGTATGTATCTTACTTTAAAGTTTCTATTTTTCCCAAGGGCATCAAAAAGGAAAAAACAAAAACAATCAGAGGCCTCCAGTCAGGTTGAACAGCGTGAACAAGTGTAGCAAAGCCTAACAATGGAAAGAGTGTTTGGAGTTCAGTAAGCAGCCCTATTTGGCAAGAGTAGAGATTTCAGGAAAGTGAAAGGGTGGCATTCCACTGAAAAAGTTAAGTAAGAAGTAGTTTGTGAAAGGCCTTGAATAGCAGTGCAAAGAGCAGGATTGTTTATGTTTGGGCCTGGCCCTCCACGCCTAGAGTCAAAGGTGGGGCAGAAAGCTCAGGGCCCTGTGCTGTGCCCACTCAGGTTGCAAGGGCAAGGGGAAGGTTATTCACTAGCAAAAGAGAAAATAGTCTAAAACTAGAAGGTACAGATAAGCTGCAAAGTAGAAAAGAAAATAAGAAATGCTGGTGTACAAAATTGGTTGAGTTTAACCCTTGGCTTTCCCACTTATATGTATGTCAGCCCATTGGCTACTTAACATCTCTCAGATCCAGTTCCCTCATTTGTGAAATATACCTACTTTGTGTTAGACTTTGTGCTTGACCCCTCAAAATCCTTTCACTTCAGTCGATCCATCTAAGCCAGTCACTGTGATCCCATTTTCCTTTTCCTTGCTAATGATTGGCCCAGGGATGGCCAGTGAAATATGAACAAGGATGCTGTGGACTGAGTTGTGTCCTCCAAAAATTCATATGTTAAAGCCCTAATTCCCAATTTGATGGTATTTGAAAATAAGGCCTTTGGGAGGTAATCCCACATACTGGGATTGGTGTCCTCCTAAGAAGAGATACTGGAGATTTCTTACAGAGAATACAGCCAAAAATATATATATAAAAAGAAAAAAACAAAATATTAAAAAATTTTAAAACAATTTAAAAAAAGAAGAAGAAGAGATACCAGAGAACTTGCTCACTCTCTCTCTGCCATGTGAGGACAGAGTGAAAAGATAGCCAGGAAGAAAGCTCTCACCTCACCCTACCAGGGTGGGACCCTACTCTTAAACTTCCAACCTCCAGAACTGTGAGAAAATTAATTTCTGTTGTCTAAACCATCCAGTCTATGGTATTTTGTTATGGCAGCCCAGCCATACAAAATGCTTAATAGTGGCTTCTGAGACAATTTTTTCTTACACTGTTAAGGGAAATCACAAAAAGTCTCTTTCTTATTCCATACATCAAAAACACATAAGTAGTCCCAAATGCCACCAGCACTCATTCCATGCCACCAGAGAAATCAGATTTAGAACAAAGATGATATATAAAATTGGACAGAATTGTAAAGAAGTGAAATGGAGACAGCACCCTGATCAAACCATGCCTGAAGCAAACACTATTATATTTCCTGTTATTTGAGCCAGTATAATTTCTTATTGCTGAAGCAAGCATTAGTCAGTTTTCTGTTATTTACCGATGATGGCAACCTAGAGTTAGATCCAAATAATTAAGGACTTTAGTACAGTGCATAGTACATATAAATTATATCTATTATTATCTTAGGCAAGTGGCTAATCTGTAAGTCACTCAATATAGTGATCATGACTGGGAGAGCCATCTATTAGAAATTTCATCTGATAGGGTTATGTTGAACAGAATTTATCTCTGAAAAAGAAAGAAGACTAGACTAAGAGGTAAAGAATTGGCCTGGAATTTGTCCCTAGAAAACTAGATTTAGATTCTGGTTAACAGGAAAGAGACCAGTAGAAGAAACAAGACAAAACTGACATAAATATTGAGAACTGTAGTCTCCTTCCTAATTTCCAGTTTTCAGCTAGAAGCTAATAAATCAAACAGCAGCTCTGCTTTAAGAACTTCCTTAAGTCCTTTTTTTGCCCTCATTAGAGCTCCCATTATTAGTTTCCCTAGAATGTGCTCTTATACAAAATTTACTTCTGCTGTTTAAATGTTTGCATTATATAAACAGGTGAAAAATGGTAACATTAAAGGAGCTCATTTAGTTCTTTTTAAACTTTTTTCGTATTTATTGTTAAAATTTTTTTTCTATTTTTTTGAGATAACTATTACCATACTATACTAACGAGGATCATTTAGTTCTTATTCAGTTTTTTTTAAAGATTCAAATGGTTAATTATATATTTAAGGCAAAGCAGTAAAAACATCTGAAAATAGTTACAAAACCATATTGTTTACCTGATGGTGAGCAGTTTTTAAACAAAACCAATGTAGCCAGGAAGATAGTTGTGCAGGCCACTGGACAGTTCTTCCTTGAATTGTTGTGGCTGGTAATTAAGCTGGAATACATGGTATGATCGTTAGTGTTTTCTATTTTTATAAAAAATTGCTCTTCTAAATTCTGAAAACTATTCAGTCCTTGAATGCTTATGAAATCATTTCCTTGTTATTAAGAATCACGTAAAATACATTACATTAGCAATTATGATCCTAAAGCAAAAATTAAGGAAATGCGCAAGGTATGACTACAGGGATGTTCATTGCAGCACTATTTATCACAGCAAAAAAAAAAATAATAATAACCAAATGTCCAATAATGGGGGGTTGGTTACATCAATTATGATACATGCAAAAATGCCACTAAAATATTAATATATGGTAAAATTCTATAAATTCTGATATGTCCAAATAAATAATGCTTTAAGCCAATAAAAATATTTTATATAGGCCGGGCGTGGTGGCTCACGCCTGTAATCCTAGCACTTTGGGAGGCCGAGGCGGGCGGATTGCTCAAGGTCAGGAGTTCAAAACCAGCCTGAGCGAGACCGCTCTCTACCAAAAATAGAAAGAATTAATTGACCAACTAAAAATATATATACAAAAAATTAGCCGGGCATGGTGGCGCATGCCTGTAGTCCCAGCTACTCGGGAGGCTGAGGCAGTAGGATCGCTGAGCCCCGGAGATTGAGGTTGCTGTGAGCCAGGCTGACGCCACGGCACTCACTCTAGCCTGGGCAACAAAGTGAGACTCTGTCTCAAAAAAAAAAAAAAAAAAAAAAAAATATTTTATATAATTATTAGTGCGGAAAGATACTCTTATCAGTGGTAGTAACCAAGAGAAACAGAGGATCTATCAAAATTGTAGAATCACCAGCAAGACAACCCTGTGTTAGAGGCGTGGGCCAGCCCTGCAAGGGTATGTAGCAGCACTCAGCAAAGTGGGGGACAGTCTGATAAAGGAGTTACTATGACGCAATGATAGTGCCCAATGCAAATAGACTCTTTTGCAAGCTTAGGTAGGATATCTCATGAAAACTGCCAGAAATACTTATGGGTAAACAGGAAGAGGGTGAAAGAGATCGTGCATCAGTCACTGGGGCTTAGAATCAGTAAAATGTGCTCGGTGATTATTAATATGTGTTCATGTGTTCTACAGAGGGATAAAGCCTTGGAAAACTTGCTCATCTTTGCCTTTCCCATAAAGAACAATTTTCACTACATAAATACAGATGATATATTTTCACACCTTAGGAAAGCAAGTTGTTTCCAACCACTTTCACCTAATTTAGAAGGCTTCATTTGCTTATAAGGTGATGTTGACATTAATATTAAAAATTCAATTGCTCAAGAACTCACTATATTTCTGCCATTTATGCTAGGTATATAGATAGATGAGCAAAATAAAAATTTCATTCCAAGCAGAGCTCATTTTCAAAATATTAGTAACTGTGGAGTAATTGGGAGTGACTAATTACAGGAAACTTCCACTTACCATTTAACAAACTTTTACCGTGTTTTTACCATGTTTAAGACCTTGTGCTAGAATCTTAGGTTTATAAAGTTGAATGAGAGAAGGCCACTAATTTGGGAGACAGACATGACTCCCCATTTTTACTTAACCCTTGACATTATACATTTTTATTGCATTTTTTTGCATTTTTGTTTAATGCATTAACTATCCTGTGAGTTGTATTTAACTCACGTTAGTTTTGAGCCTGGGGCCTCGTGAAGCTCATGTAGTTCACATGTCTTTTTACCTTGAGACCTGTGTGAACTATTTTTCAGGTTGCATATAACTCACTCACAGAAAAAAATAACACATTTTTCATTAAATTAGAAAGGATTGTTTTGTTTTTGAAGTCTTTATTATATTTTCATAATAAAACACCATGGCCCCAAGGAAAAGTTTTTTTTTTCCTAGTGTGGCAGCCAATGAGCTAATAGTCTGCAATTGCATCAGTTCTGAAAGTTCTTTCACACCCACCAAGGTAAAGATACTGTCAAATGTTAGACCACTTGGCAAATTGTCAGTGGTTTGGTAACTTTGTGTTTGTTTGTTTATATGGAGGTGGCAGGTGGAGTGTGCAGTGATTTAACCCTTGACATTAATGATTTCAAAATCAGAACATCTAATTAAAATGAATAATAAGCTACCATTATAATAGTAATATAAGTAAGGCCAATAAGTTAAATTGCTAATTGTTCTTTGCTGCTGACATAAACCCCTGTTAAACCTTCACCTCTAAATTATATTTTAGAATAGACAATCTCTTTTAAGTGATTCTTTAGGTCAAAAGGGTAGCTTGGGATTCTTAAATATGATTGGAGGAAATCATACTACAAAATTTTCCAAATTCATCAGTGAATGAATATATATCTTGCCCATAAAACCAGTCAATCCAGTTGAATTACTAATGGAGCAATCCATAGGTCACTCCCAAACATGCATTACTCCATTTATATTGGTTTAGCCAAATGGCTGAGAAATTGGTCACAGCTATAGAGGTATGCTCCAATCTTATAAACCCATCCCATTCTCCAATTATTACTTCAGGATCCCAAGGTTATTTAGACCATTCTTTTTTTTTTTTTTTTTTTTTTGAGACAGAGTCTTGCTTTTAGAGTGAGTGCCATGGCATCAGCCTAGTTCACAGCAACCTCAAACTCCTGGGCTCAAGCAATCCTCCTGCCTCAGCCTTCCAAGTAGCTGGGACTACAGGCATGTGCCACCATGCCTAGATAATTTTTTCTATATATATTAGTTGGCCAATTAATTTCTTTCTATTTATAGTAGAGATGGGATCTTGCTCTTGCTCAGGCTGGTTTCGAACTCCTACCTTGAGCAGTCCACCTGCCTCAGCCTCCCAGAGTGCTAGGATTACAGGTGTGAGCCACCGTGTCCGGCCTTAGACCATTCTTATTTTGTGAGTGAGTATGACCCAAGTCAGAACAATAAGGGAAGTTTGTTGAGGATTTTTTGAAAATGTCCTCACTTTGAACATCTTATGACCATTCAATTCCCATGACCTGGGAAGTCTGTCATCAGGAAATAGGTTGCTTAATAGATATAGCCCTTAGAAGAGGACTCTATGCTGACGCTCACCCTAGACATGGCCAGGGAGGACACTGGATAAAAGAGACCCTCCCAGAAGACAGAACTAGCCCCCAATAAGAATAGAAAGAGCAGTCTTCTCATGGGCACATCCTCAGACTGCCAGTGTGGTCAACAGGGGCCTCAGCCCTCTGCCTGAGAGCTCTTGCTTCTCCTGTCCAACAGGCTCTGATGTGTGTATGGGAACAGTGAACGCTATGTGTTGCTGCCCAGTCTCCTACTTTCCAACTTTTTAATCAGATAATCTTGCTCTTTGAATACTGGGGTGTCGGGAGGTGATTTATCATTCTGAGAAGCTACAGCCAGAACTGATAAACATGAAAACACAATGCCCAGATTGCTGAACGTGGTGTTGATACCACAGTTGGATGAGTCTTTGGGTTGACTCCTAAGTGCAGGCATCTCATATGAGCGGGGTCATGACCAAGGCACTCATTCCCGCCAGCTGCCAGGAGTGAAGTCCACTAATGGCCCACAGCCACGTCCCACTCTAGGAATTGTCCTGCCCTTTCTCCTTCCAGAGGGCAAGTCTGTATCAAACATTGGGGGCAGAGGTGTGGAGTAAAGAGTGGTACCAAGGCCTCGACAAAAGACAGCTCTATAGGGTCATCCCTGCTCCACCTCTACTTCCCCCCACAGGATAGGCTTGATGCGGAAAATGTCGGGCGACAGGATGTGGCCGATTGCCGCCTCCCCGTATTTCCGCGTCTCCAGGGGCCAGTGCTGCGCATGGCTGGTTAGAGGCACGCTGCTGGGGCCGGGCCCCACAGCACACAGCCGCCTGGATGCCCATGGCACACAGCCACTGGGACCCCGAGTGCCGCTTGGACCCGAGTGCTGGAATGCCCCAGGCCCACCTGCCGCTGCCTGTTTCCGGCCACGCTGCTTGCGTGATCCTGATTGGGTAATTTTTGAATCCCACTGTTTTTGATTGGATATTAAGGCTTGTTGTTGATTGGATGTTAAAGCCTGTTGCTGATTGGATGTTAAAGCCTGTTGCTGATTGGATGTTAAAGCTTGTAGTTGATTGGACGCTTCTTGAGCCCTACCAAGGGTATATAAAAGCAGGGGCAGCCGGGCAGGAAGGGGGAGAACATCGGAAGACACCAAGAGAGCTGTAACACTAGGTGTGCTGAGCCTGCTGTAGAAGAATAAAGGCTGTTCTCCGACTTTTCGTGTGCCGCTTGGTTCTTTCCCTGGTCAAATAAATACTGCCGCAACAGGCTGAGTCGTCTATAACAACGGCATCACAGTTCAACTTCTCCCTCTGCCAAAACCTGCTTCCCTCTTTCACTCAAGTTACTGATTGATCCCAAATATACTACCCAATAACTTTCCTGCACCCAAATTCCTCTCAGAGTCTATTTCCTGGGAATCCAAACTAAGACAATAAATAATGATGATACTATTAGGAAACACTTAGAGCTTATTGTGAGCCAGCCATTCTTCAAAGGGCCTTACCTATATTAGCTCACTTAATTCTCCCAATCCTATGTGGTAGGTGCCATTACTAACCCTGTTTTACAGATGCTGAGAATGAGGCACAGAGAGGATATGTAAGCTGTCCAAGCTCACACAGCTGGTGAGTGTCAAAGCTAGGATTCAAGGCTAGGCAATTCTGTCTGCAGAGTCCTGTGTTCTTTACTATCTCGCAGACATTGGGATAGTGCTTACTATATGCCAACTACCTCTATATCCAGAGCCAATGCTGAGAAACTCAGGGCCACGAAAATAACCAAGTTGCTACAAAAAGCAGATGCAACCAAGATACAGCATGGCAGTGGGCTCAGCTTGCATGTGGCCAAGAGGATCACCAACTCTAGGAACTCCCTGGCTCATTCCTAGCTTCCTGTGCTGTCATCAGCCATGGAGAGATCGCTGGGGAGCAAAGGCTGCTCAACACAGACCAAAGACTCCAGTGCCTCTTGTAAGCAAAGAAAGTGACGGGCAGCTGCCACTGAGGACAGGAAAAAGACTCAGAGGAAAGCCAAGAATCTAAAAAATCCCAGGTAGTCTGGCTCTGCAGCCAGTGCTATGCAGACCATATGTCTTGCTTCTCAGAAAGGAAGGCCGGACGCGGTGGCTCACGCCTGTAATCCTAACACTCTGAGAGGCCAAGGCGGGTGGATTGCTTAAGGTCAGGAGTTTGAAACCAGCCTGAGCAAAAGCGAGACCCCGTCTCCACTATAAATAGAAAGAAATTAATTGGCCAACTCATATATATAGAAAAAATTAGCCGGGCATGGTGGCACATGCCAGTAGTCTCAGCTATTCGGGAGGCTGAGGCAGGAGGATTGCTTGAGCCCAGGAGTTTGAGGTTGCTGTGAGCTAGGCTTACGCCATGGCACTCACTCTAGCCTGGGCAACAAAGCAAGACTCTGTCTCAAAAAAAAAAAAAAGGAAGGGGGAAGGTAAGGATGCTAGCAAGCAAGGGGGTGAGCCTGGTGTGGTGGGGACCTTTTGGTGGAATTTCCATCTTTTCTGCCTTAAAGTAGCAGCCATGCTTTTGGGGAACACAACCCTGATGAATCTCTGTCTTGCTTTCCAGATGTTGGTTCAGGAACTCGGGCCTAAACCTCAGCACATATCTGTGCTCTGGCCACAGGAATTGTAACAATAATTAGGGTCAGTGAAAATGCGTTGGGGAACATTAAGAAAGTTTCCTTGCACTCATAGGCGGTAGTTATCTCACCACTTGCCTCAGGAGGAAGCAAGTCAAAAGAACAGCAGGGAAATGGTGCTGGAGCCCCTGGCTTAAGCCAGCCCAGCAGCCTGCACTTCTTCTTGACTAGCAGCTTCCTGAGCCAGTAAAGCTCCTTACCATTTAAGCCAGCAAGGAATTACTGTCTCTTGCAGCTGAGAGCAGGAGCAACTCCAGACTTCACTCAAACCCTCTCTGCCTCCAGACATATCAACAGTGTTAAGAGACAGACAACTGGGGAAATGCTTAGGGCATTTATTTATTTTTTTTAAAGTGTTAATTTGGACACTTGCAGTTGCAAGTAACACAAGAGCCAATTGTGGCAATCTTAAGCAAAAGAAATAATTTTTTGGAAAATTGGGACATTTCACAGAATCCAAGGACAGAGTCACAGTTGGGCCTCAGGAAAAAGCCAAAGCCTGAAAGGAGAGAATTCAAGACTCTTCTTTCTCCAACTTTCTCCGGTGCTTCTGCCTTTTTCTCACTGCCAGAAAAAGGCTTTCTCTATTCTTCAGTCTACAATGAGAAACATGACTACACATAGCTTCTGAATTTTATATGTAACAACTAACGCAGAGATAAACTGATTTATTTTCTCTCCTTCCCTTCTCTATCTTTTGAAATCTCTCTGCCCGAATTTCAAAATTCCTACAGAAGAGACTTAGGGTCAGGTAGCTGCTAGGCTTAAAGAATTCACCCTCCCCAAACTTCCATCCAAACCTCCTAGAAAACCCACCAGCTCTCCCCTTCCTGGGCCTGTGTTTGGCACATAGCCCTTGCCAGACCTTGGGAGATAAAGGAATGGAATGCAGGAGGGGAACTTACTTTCCTTATCTCTCCTGATAAGGATGAGGCTTATCCCTCCTGGTTGTTTGAAAAAAAAAAAAA